TTTTTGCTTACTGCCTTTTTAAAGAAGTGTGACCACAGTTACCACTTGGCGAGAGGAATCAAGCAAAAGTTCACAAGTAGGTAATGAACAGGAAGTCACCTCAGAGATCAGTAGGTCCATGGGTGCTATGGAGAGCAGAGACCAGGAAGCTGGTGAAGCTAGACCCATGAACTCAGGTGTCCGTCCCTGACTCTGCAGAGGAGGAAGCAGCTCCCCACTGGGAGTGCTGGAGCTCCTGAGGAAATACCTTACTCTGCCCCAGCCTCAGTGCTCTAGGGAAGCTCCTCATTTGCCCTGGCCCAGCTCACCTGGACAAGAACTCTGAGGATGCACAGGCTCCACTGACCACGGCTCCTCTCCTTGCTCCAACAGGGAGATGACCTCGGGCTTGGCAATTTGGTGTCCTACATGGGAAAGAAATGTGGATTTCTGTCAGTGCAGCTCCAGAGCAGCCTGAGGCTTCCCTTCACAGTCAGTTCCCACTTGGGCAGACAATGCAGGCATTATAAGCATTAGCAACCCCATTCCTCAGCTTCAGAACTCATGTTCACCCCTCCCATGATGTAACAGAGGATCTTCAGTGGGACCAGTTTGTGTACCAGACAAGGCCACCTTACCCACAGACAGCAGGTGCCCGAAGGTCTCCAGCATCACATCGCGATACAGTGTCCTCTGCATGGGGTCCAGCTGCCCCCACTCCTCCTGGGTGAAGTCCACAGCCACATCCCGGAAGGTCACTGGCTCCTAGAATGCACAGGATTCCCTCAGCCTGTGCTGAAGTGAGGCTATGAGTCCCAGGCAGGGATCAGGGTGACAGAGGGAACACAGCCAGGGTTCACTAAGGACCTCACAGACCATATTGGTTTCGATCCTGATCTGAACAAACCAACTGTAAGAAGACATTCTGGAGACAAAGGAGGACAATACACTACTGTCAATTGTGCTGGCTCTGGCTGTGGTTATGCCCTGAAAAACACCTGAGTGAGTCAGGTTCCTCTGACTCACGGTTCAGAGGTTTTGTGGCCAGTGGGCTCCGCTTCTTCAGGCCTGTGGTGAGGCAGAAACCTCATGGCAGGACACTGGTGGAGGAAAGGGGCACAACACTGGGAAGCAGAGAGGAGGGAGGACCCTGAGCGGCAGCCTCCCTTCAACCTCTGCTTTACAGGGAGGTACAGCATGGTGCTGTCCACACATGAAAGACCCCATAATCCACTGACCTCAGGGCAGTCTTCTCTGAAAATACCTTCACACACCAGAAGTGTTTCACTGATGTCCTAGGCCAGTGATGGTGAACCATTGAGAGCTTCCAATGATAACAGCCAGTTCTCGTATGCATGCCATAGGTTCACCACCACCATCCTAGGCATTTCCCCATCCAATCATGTTAGCAGGAAGAAACCACACACAGAAAAAAGCTGATGCTGGACAAATGAAAGGCAGGGAGCAGAAGCTGGAAGTCACTGAAGCTGTGGGCAGGGACGCTGGAGAAGGCCGGGCACAGAGAGACAATGTCCACACCCTGATCCCCAAAACCTGTGACTGTGGCCTGAACAATGAAAAGGACTTTACAGATGGGATGTGCTAAAGATGTGAATGTGGACAGATTATCCTGAGCACAAAGCAGACCCAGGAAAATCACAAGGAAGGGAAGCAAAAGTCTGAGCCATGTGCTTTCACGATGGGGGAGGAGATGAGCCCAAGGAAACAGTGACAGAAACACAGCAGACTGTCACTTAGTCCTTCAGCTGGAACACAGCCCAGAACTGAAGAGTCATCTGAAAACTTCTGAGGTCCCAAGCAAGAGAATAAAATGTTTGAGGACATGACATTTGTAGTAGTGTTAGAGCAGCAGTGGAAAACTAAAACACTGGTTATGTTCTACTGTGGGGTCTAAAACACTCCTAAATAAAAATTTTAAAAAACAAAATTAAACTAAAGGTAGATATCCTAGCCCTCAATGAGAACAGACCAGCAGGGCCAGGAATCACACACTCCACTGCCAGAACTACTGAACCAGCAGAACAGCAGAGTCTCTCTGTCCCACAAGCCAGGAAGGCCATGGCCAGAGAGCCCTCTGCAGGGCCAGGCAGGGCAAAGAGCCAGAGTACAGGCAGATGAGAGATGCACCATGCAGCACAGCCCTGCCAATGCCCAAGCACCACACAGACAGCATTGCACGCAGCACTGCTCTGAGCCTGGGCCTTCCATACTCAGCTGTGTGGGAGCCTCTCAGGCTCCAGCCCAGCCCAGATGGGGTGTCTGGGCCCTGGATACTGCAAACAGTGACCTCCCAGAGAAAGATCTGTGGGGAGGGCACAGAAGCAGCAGGACAGAACTTCTGAGCAGAGACTGGATGACCCCAGGCATAAGCCATGTAGGCAGAGATGGACTCAGTGGCCAAGAAAACTGTGAAACCAGGCTGCACCTGCATTCAGCTTCCAATGCTCTGTCCTACTGTAGGCACTCAGCCCTGAGAGATCGATGCAAAATGGACAGAATGCCACCTGAAAGGCTTTCTGAAGAACAGGAAATGATCCACAGAACATGAAAGAGGTTACGCATCATGTTGCATGCCTGTAGTCCTAGCTACTTGGGAGGTAGAGGGAGGAAGATTGTAAATTCAAGGACACTAGGACAACTTAAACAAGACCCTGCCTCAAAAATGTCAAAAGGTTGAGGGATGTAGCTCAGCACTAACATATTTGCCTTAGCATGCACAAGGCCCTTTTCTAAACCCTAGTGCCAAAAACAAAGAAAAAAAGCATATATATAACAAGACCTCAAAAAGAGGTGGTGTGGTGGTGGAAATGTGATTACCAAAGCTTCTACTCTCTCTCCAAGAAAAGGACAGGGAATACTGAGGGGAGATCAGAGAAGTTCAGCCAGAAGGCCTGCCACCCAATGGAAGACAGCAGAAAGAAAATACAAAGAAAGGGTTTGCTTTTTCAATATAACACTCCCAAAATATAACACATCAGCCATAATCACACATTTCACAAAACATATTGACATTTGACAAAACATATTTGACAAAAACATATGTAAGTTAAGACAAGCTATAAAATGGGAGAAGATAATTCATATATGGCAAAGTATGGATCCAGAATGCAAGTGAAACACCCAAATTCTAGCAAGCCCATCTAGAAATCTAGGGAGTAAGAAAGACACAAATAACCAATAGATATCATAAGACTCAATTTCACTAACAATCATGGGTATTCACATGAATATAACTCAATACACCTTCCTGGTCTCAAGGTAAGCAAATGTTGCAACACAGCATCAGTGTTCTCTCCCAGCGTGTAGACTGAGCAAGGCTGTGCCCCTCAGCAGTGCCTCATGGCAGCACTAGCAATACTGAGAAAATCCAGCAAAACTCGTCTGGAGCATGTGTGCTCACACACAACACATGTGCACGGTGTGAGATTGCCAAGAATTCCGTGCAGTTTGGGCCTGAACAAAAACGGGGCAAGGGACTTCTAAACCCATCTAGGAAGGAAAGGAGAAGCAGAGTGTCGATCCCCAGTGAGTACTACCAGGAGTGCTATTGTGAGCAGCTGGCTGGAAATGGCTCAAAGGTGTGAAGGCAGGACAAGGCCTCAGCGCCTAAAGCAGTCAAGCCACCTCAGTCCTGAAAAAAGCATCCTGCCTGGTCAGTGTTAGCTATTAGTCACTAGGTAACCTTGTGTCACATGATACTAACATTGCAAAGGTATAAATGATGCCCCTACTGTTGTGTTTTGGATCCACTGTCCACCAGGCAAATAAGCCTCCACCTGGCCCAGCTCTTGCCTACCTTTTCCTCTCATTTTTGCCAGGGTCTCCCTGGGATACACTGAGAAACCAAGTCCCTAGAAAGTGTAAAATAGGAGGAATCTTGCCTACTTCATCTACCAACAAGCACCTCAAAGTTGCACCAGGAAGGCTTTACATGTAGGTCATAAATAAAAGGAAAAAAAAAAATTTAAAAAAACTTTGTACCTAAACCAGATTCAGTTAAGTTTATGTACAAAAATGAAAATGGATTATGTGTTCTCAACAAATCCATGATCAGTTGCTCTGGTAAAGGGTGAAAAAAGAAAGCAACTGAGGACTACACCAAGAAGGCTGGGAGCAGTGGTGCACTCTGTGAAAGCAGTTTCTTGGGAGCCTAACACAGGACAATCGCAAATATGAAGGCAGCTTGAGCAACTTAGAGATACTCAAAGTTTTAAAACACAAAGTGGTACTCCGCCACAGCAGTGAAGCCTTGGAGCCATAAGACCCTAGCTTTAATCTCCTGGACCACCTCAGTAATAAAAAGAAAACAATTATGGCATATTATTCATTCAGTAACAGGATTTGACCAACTACTTTTACTTTTCTGCAATTAAAGAATTGGCCAAAATAAAATTTAAAATAGCAGAAATGCTTCCAGGATTTAAAAAGATGTCATCAAACTGGAAGTTTTATGGCCTGAAGAGCAGCAAGACTGCCCATGCTGAGACCCGGGACCTCACCTGAGACCACAGGAAGAGGCCAAACACCTGTCTAGAACTGAAAATGAAAATACAAAACCAAGAGGCTACAAGGACAGCAGAAGTCTCTAGAGATCAAAGGAGCCCAGTCAGGGCAACAAATACAGGCTTCTCTGTGACTGTACCCTCTGGGGAGCTGAGGTAGCAGCTGGGCTTACATCTTCCAGTCAAGTGCCTCATCCAATTCTATACATGACCCTGCACATATCAGTGTGCAGTGTCTCTCGTCATTTGAAGTACTTCCTAGGACCTGCTTACACACCAGACACACATTTAACCCCTCGTGTGGCCTGGAAGACAGCCAAAGTCAAATGTACTGAGTGGGGTCTCCCCTGCTGGTCTGAGGTCCTTCACCATTGGGTCTATCATGGAACCTGGGTAATTCTGATGGTTTCTTAGGGGCAACTTTAATACTTTAATTTCTTTACAGAGAACAAAAACTAAATCGTGTACATCATGGAGCATATCCAAGGCTGGATGCAAATATTATTACTGTTTTAATGCATATTTAGCAGGGATCCTTGGTGGATGATTACAGAGGAGTTTGAGGAGTATTTCCATATTTTTGCAGAATGAGGCTTTCAGCTCAAATGTAGTATAAATATTATTTTCTTCTATTCCTTGAAATAACAGGATCTAGGCTCCTGCTACCTAAAACCTCACTACTTATTGTGTTACCAAGGATGGACTACTCAGATAATGATGACAGCATTTTATAATTTTTCCAAAAGAAAGCTTTATTTCAATGAATACTTAACTCGGAAAGAGCCATCAAGGGACAGGCTCACTTGCGTTCCCAAAGATGCTGCACAACTGAAAATTGACAGGATTCAAGTGCAAGTTTCCCACAAGGGAAAATCTAGAATGAGTGCAGGGAGGTGGCCAGGACTGTGTTTGCAGAAATCACAACTCTTCAGACATTAGAAAGTGTTGTTATTTTAATTCTGTTTTATTTCTCAGCATTAACTCTAATCACCCAGATGCTCTCACATAAACTAGCGGCAGAGTGCAAAACCGTGGTTAAGCAGGGTTCTTCATGGAGTTTGCTTACAGCTAACATCTGTTCCCAGGTGACTAACGCACCTTTCAGCCTAGCCTAGCTCCAGGGCTGATTCTGTAAACCAACGGCACACCACAGAGCATGAGCCTCAGCCTCAAGCTTGGAAGCCAGGAACCCACTGCCACACTTCTCTCAGGCCTCCTGCTTCTTGGGGCCAGTATACCTATGATGCAGCACTTTACCTATCAGCTTTCAAACTGTAGAAGGTTGTATTTGTTTTTGTTTAATTTACAGCACAGCATAAAGTAGAGGAGTCATTTCTTAAAAGTTTCTATTACAGCATCTCATAATTGTATGATGCTTTATTCTAACTTAGAAAGAAACTACCTAGGCACTCTTTTTCTTTGTATTTCATAACAGGAAGACAAGAAAGCAAATGTAAATCTGACGAAATTAGAAAAAAATGGATGCAAAACCTCCCTTTAGAAGAATGTAGATAAACTTAAAATACTAAAAACAAGTTTAAAATGGCTGCACTTCCCTCTTGAAAATAAAATCCTGATACATGTAACATGGCTGACCCTCAAAAACATTATGCTAAGTGAAAGAAGCCAGACTCGATGGCCAGATGTTATATAACTCCATTTACACGAAACGCTCAAAATAGCCAAATACATGGACAGTAGATTCCTGGCTGCCAGAGGGGAGCAGGGAATCTACTAGTGGATTCAGGACCGCTTTGGTAAGAAGATGTTCGAGAATCAAATACTGGCTTTTGTTCTTTCTGGGTGTGGGGACTGAACTCAGGACCTTGTGCTTGACAGGCAGGTGCTTATGAAACTGAGCTATCTCCCCAGCCCAAATACTGTTGACAGAAGTACAATTCTGTCAATACACTAAAAATCAATGAACTGCACATTCTGAAAGTAAAACATACAGTACATGACTGTCTCAATAAAGCTACTACAGGAAGTCCCTGACTTACAAACACACTAGTTACAAACTTTCACACTGTGCTGCTAATACTCACTTTTTGTCAGCTAACCTAGGAACAGTTCTTAGAACAGAACCCACTTGTAAGTCAGGACTTACTTTATTAAGAAATGGTTTTTAAGGGGACATCTCTGGAGGCGGAGGTAAGAGGGGACACCTGTCGTCTCTCTCTGGAGCTCCTTTGTACCCACCCCAAACCAAATGCCTGTACATCTGATCCCTCCCCAGCCCACCCCTAATCAGAGTAGAGCTTGAAAGGTAGCAACTACCACAGCCCTCCTTCTCCAATCCCAGCAGGTGCACCTTACCACATCCTGGACCACAGCACCTTCCCTTTCAACACTTCTCAGGCTCCTTATTCCCACCAGGACAGAGCATGGCCCTACATCTCTGGCCTAAAATGTATAGGGCCCACTCTTCAGCTAGGTACGGACCTTGCCATGCATCCTACCCTCCAAAATATACCTGTGGTGCTGCTGGAGGCCAGACTTGGCTCTCCAAGCTGTGCCCATCTGACTGGCACAACCACTTCATCCTGGCTCAGGACTCCCAGGCAGCCCCATCCACTGAGAATGGCTCCCAAGAGCTGTGTCCTTGCTGACCTCTGTGCAGACTCCATTCCACCCCTGGTCTGAGCTGCTGCAGGGCCTGGGGCTCCCCTCTACATCTCTCACAGAACATGTGCAGCTCCATGTGCAGTCAATCGCATGGTAGGAACATGCCTACCAAGTGGATTTCTTGCCCCATCCTATGTACATTTACTCTGCTAAGCAAATGACTCAAAGCAGGCTGGGTGGCCCCCAGGGTAAAGGCTGACACCAGTCTTCACTCCCTTCACAGCACACATGAAGTTCGCTGATAAACATAAGCTTGAGACAGGTACAGAACGTGCAAGGTACAAGATGGCAATAGGGGGCTACCAAGCATGAGAGCTGTGCTTCAAGCCCCAAAGGACTTAGGGCACAGCTATAGCCAGCACTGAGGACAGGCTGGATAACATCAAAGTTAAAGGTCATGGAAAACGGACTGAATTATCTCTGCCTGCATTCAGGAAGCACAAACCTCCAACTAATTACTTCTCTAACCAAACCTTTACCATTGTAAAACTACAAACCACATCAACTGGATAGCCAGGGACACCTGGACAGCCATCTGTGAGGAATACAATAGCCCCTGGGAAAGAGCAGAATCCCCATCTCACCTGGACCTGGGCTGCTGAGAGCCCAGCTGCACTTCTCCCCTGCTCATGCCACACAGGGTCCTGAGAATAGAGAGCTAGGAAACAAGAAAGAAGTCATGGAGGCAGCTATTTCTGCAAAAGTTCTACCCTACAAGCCCTTCCTCCTGGGTTGCTGAGGAAATCCTGGCTTTCTCCTCACAGGAAGAACCCACTTCCCTGTCCTATAGACAAAGGTCAGGAACATACCTACCATGTGAATCCTTTGCCCTGTACTATGAAGGCAGTATCTGTTCACAGGCTTCTTGGGCCTAATCCCTGAATGGCCACATGTTAACTGCACTTCATGTGGTCCTGGAGATAGCATCACTATCACTTTCGTCCCCCAGAGGAGTTTTCTGACTACTGCCTATTTCAACTCTGCACAGACAGATCTGGACCCAAGCCCCCACCCTAAAAACCCACCTGATCCCCAACTCTAGCAGCTCATTGCAGGAAGAATACAGTAGCCCACATGGCACAGATACAGGTTCTTGACTCACCCCAGGAGGCCCACGGGTCAACTGCTGCCATCTGCCAGGACTGGTCCATAAGAGTACCTGCACAGAAGGACCAAGTTAGGACTGACACTAAACCTATTGACTGAAGGTGTCAAAATGGAAAAGAAGACTGTATCCATAAGGGATATGAAGACGTTCCATAAACAGAGAACAAGGGTAATTCAACAGCCAATGCACAGGTGGACTGCTGTTAGTAAGGAAAGGTACTAAGACTATGTAGTCACAGGACAATGAAAAACAGAGCCCTTTAAAATGGCTGAATAGGTGTGTGGTAAAATGTTAACAGCACCTACTTTTGGGTAGTTTTTTTTTTTAATATAGCAGTATGATGCTCTTGACATCTTTAGAAGAAACCTCATTTAAAGATAGAGCACAACTGACATCCACTATCGCTTAACTTTTTCTTAAATTACAGATCAATACTATGTAAGTGAAAAACAATAGTAAAGGCTAAATGTATATATATATATATACATATATATGTATATATCTCACCTATAAAGACAACACATTGTATGTATGACTGTCTTCTAAAAAAACCCAGTCATCATTAGAAAATCTCAGACCTAATGATGCTTTTCAGAAGCCATTTTTCAGGAGCTCACTATAAAATATACAAAAATTACTCTTATGGTAACAATTTTCCCTCTTAACGATCAGCCATCACTCACCCTACTTCCCAAGCCTTTTTCCCCCGTATTTTAGGACAGGGTTTACAGGGTCAACAGGGTCTCACTGCGTAGATCAGGCTCATCATGATCTTCCAGTCTACAGTTTCCCACATGCTGGCATTACAAGAGCGCGCCCTAGGGTCGGGGCCAGCACGGCAGGCCAGGGGATCGAGGGATCGAACTTGCAGCGTCTGCCTAAACAGGCGCTGTAATCCGTTGAGCTATCTGGCCGGCCCTCCCAATTACTTCTAAGTGAGTACACACTCTCTAATCCCCCAAAGCACTCAGCGCCTCCTCTACCCTCAGCCCAGGGAAGGCCTGGAAAGATCCCCACTTACCCCACGAGCTCCACGGGTTGATGGCTGCCATCCTGAGGACTGATCAGCCAGGCTCCAGCCCAGGCACACAGCAAGCATCAACCTAAAGATCAAAGTGGAAAAGCCAGATCCAAGAGAACCCATCCACAGAAACAACAAAGACTCTTAGGACGCTAACAGAAAGCATAATTTGCATGCCAAAACTCCAATAAACTGAAGAAAAAGGCACAACCCTGCGTGAGGGTGAAAACGTGTAGCCATCACTCCCAATGGGGAGTCGGGAGACGTCAACTCAAAAGAAATTACCAATGGACCTGACAAAAGCCACGTAACTACTACCGGCCGTGGCCATGCAACTGTGGTCCAGAACGAGGGGTCAGGGAAGTGGGGAGCGGCTGCTCCACGGAAGCGGGGTTTTGGGGGGTGCTGAAGAGAACGTTCTGGACTCAGACCGTGCAGAAGGCTGCAACTACACCCTGAACGGCAGTAGGAGGTGGCAGCAGGGTGGACACGACTGCACACCACGTGAAAACACTGCATCTCTAGGCTTCCGCCACCAGAGAAGGGGTAGGGCCCGGCACTCGCCAGCCCCGCGACGCCGCCTCACCTGCGCCGTCCGCCGCGGCACCAAGGCCGGGAGGGCACCGGGAGGGCACGGAGGCCAGCACAAGGCCGAGCGGCAACAGAGCCAGGTGGGGCCGCGAGTCGCGGGCCGAGGGCGGGAGGACCGCAGCCGGCGCAGCGAAGGCACCGCGGGAACCTCGGCGCGCCCGCCCACAGGCCCGCCGCTCAGAGAACGCACTCCCGACGCGCCGGGTACCAGGCGAAGGCCTCACCTCGACCGCCGACAATGGCGGCCGCTCCCCGGCGGGCCGCGCCGCGGGCGTCGCTGGGAGCTGTAGTCCCCCGGCTGCTTCCGGTCCACACCGGAAGTCCCTCCCCGCGCCGCGCGACTGGCGGGGCCGCGGGCGTCCGCGTGGTGGGGTCGGGTGGTGGATCCCGGCTCACCGCCCGGATGGCGCTGCCGTGCGCCCCCGGGGCCGGCTTGGAAGGCCTGGGGACGCGGCGGCTCCGGAGCCTCAGTTTACCGGAGTACCGTCGCTATAGGTGCTCGAGCAGGGCCGAGCCGTGGAGCTGCGGCGTCTTCCAGTCCGGGTCGGGACACTGGTTGTCATCGGGCACCTCTGCACCGGGAGGAGCCGAGCTGTGAAGGCGCCCTCGGCTGTAGGCGAGCCTTAAGTTGCCACCCGGGCGGCGCTTCCCGGGCGGCGGGGACGGCACCCAGGGTGCCGGTCTCTCCTGCTCACCCCTGGGGGGCCGCGCCCGTTGCGCGCCTCGCTTACTTTCTCAGTACGTGTGCACCGCTCAGCATGGGAGCAGGTGTCTCGGCGGGTGCGGCCGCGCCCCGACACAGCGAGGACAGGACGCGTGAGTTCCTCATCCCTGAGACCCAGGACCGCAGGACAGAGCAGGGGAGAAGGGTTTGGTTTTGTTTTTGTTGTCTCTGGTTTTTGCTCTCATTTGTAGGGATATCAGTTAACACTCGACGGGCCCCAAGCGGGGGCTGCAGGGCCGCAGGAAGTGGTGAGATGGATGGGGGAGAAAAACCCTTCCGCCCGCGCCCCCAGAGCCCCACTTCGGCCAGCCGGGCTCCACCTCCCGGCGTCACCTTCAGCTTGAAGCTTCTCAGTGGACCAGTTTCCCCGCAAGCGTCACCCGCGTGATCCAGTCCTCTCCCCAAAGTTCCATCTCTGAGCCCAACAAGCGTTGGAGGGGCATTTAGATATAAACAGCAGCAACACGCAGCAGGGAAGAAGTGCAGAAATAGTGGCTGCGGGTGGGGGGACAGGTGGGAGGACAGGTGGGAGGAGTACCTGCGTGGCACTTGCACATCTGAGAAGGAAGGATAGGAAGGGGAGAGGGGTCTGGAAAACACTGGGCAAGGCCGGGCACCTACGTGCCCATGGGAAAGGCGTGTTAGCAGAGGATACTGATTTAAAGGTAGGTCCCAGAGTACAGTGCAGCCCATCGTCTCCGGAACAAGGCAGGGCACAGAGGTGGGCTCCCAGGAAGGGGCTGCTCACCTGGAGCCTGGAGGGGGAGGACAGGTTCCTGTGTGTGGATGCGCCGCTCACTCTGCCCTGTGCCAGGCTCCCTTCAGTCACCATCCGGAGGGGAGGATCATGGGCTGCGTCGGTGCTGACGTTCCGGCTGCTGAGTGGAAAGAAACCACAGCAGCTGCGAAACTTGTTTCTCAGAGATTGTGCTTACTCCATGATATACTCCTGTCACCCGTGCCATGTGAGGGGCTCCACCGCCTCCATTTCCTCAGAGCCAGATGATGAGTGTGAAAGATAAAGGCGGGAGTTTGTGAGTTGGGTTGTAGGGTGACAGATAGTGCAACAGTTGGCGCCCTTCCCGGGGAGGCAACCACTCTCCTGAGTGTGACATCACACCTGAAACTTTACAACGTGTAACTTCTATGGAGCAACACAAGCCTTACATGCATTTATGTAAATGCTATGGGTAGGTTAAGACTTCATCTGCAATTCCTATTTTTGCTTCCACTATTCAGCGTAGTGACATTTAGCTTCAGTAGGTAAAGCTCTTTTTGATCTCACTTCACCTCTGTGTAGTTTCCCACCACCATGGCTATAGGATGGTTTGTCTTGTCTGCTTCGATGGCTTCTATTGTTCACTCAGTAAATACTGAATCACCTAATATGCAAGGTATGGTTGTAGGCTCTGGGGCATGACATAGTGCATAAAAATTGCCATGCCACTGCTGTCATGGACTTTACATTGCAGAGGCGAGACCACAATGGAAAATTAGCAGAATACAAACTATGCGAGGTGGAGGTTGATCTCGGAGTGTAGCTAAGCAGGGAAAGGGCAGAGAATGCCGGAGCAGAGGCTGTGATTTTTAAGTTTGGAAAGGAAGGAAGAGCTCACTGATAAGGTGATACTTGAGCAGAGACCCCAAGGCAAGGAGGAAGACTGCCACACAGATAACCAGAGGAGCACTGCAAGACAGTGGCCTTAAGAAGGATGTAGCTGGAGCAGAGGCTGAGGGAGGGAAGAAAAGGAGAGCTTGATGGGGGAGGGCCTGAGGGAAAGGCTCAGCAGAGAAAAGACAGATGCTCCCATTGTTTTAAAACAAGCACCTGCTGCTGAGGGGAGAACAAGTTGTGGACGCTCTCAACTTTTGCTATTACAAATGAGGTTGTTATGAGCGCTGGTGTCCAGGTCTCCTATGGACACATGCAGCTTTCTCCTGCAGACCCTCAGAGAGGGACTGATGAGTGTGAACACATGACGATGTCTGTCTAGTACCTGTGGGAATGCTGCCCTCTTTCCAAATGGGTCACGTCTGTTTATGCTCTCACTCGTCTAAAGCTCACTTGCTTCATGTCTTCGCCAGTGCTTGGTGCTGTGAGATTCCCGTTTCTGCAAAAGCATGAGGAAGAAACCGCAGTTCACTATGATATCCACGTTCTTCTTTTAACTAGAGTCAGTGTCTTTTTTTTTTTTAATGTATTTAGTACAGGGTCTACAGGGTCTCACTACATAGATCAGACTTGTAGTGATTCTCCTGTTTTCAGCCTCCCAAGCGCTGGGATTGCAGGCATGCACCACCACACCCAGTCTCAGTCTATCTCAGCGCACCCTGGGGACAGCACGGCACTCTGGGCTTGAACCTGAGTCCCTGCATCTGCCTAAGTAGGCACTTTAATCCGCTAAGCTATCTGGCTGGCTATAGAATCAACATATTTTCATGTGCTTTAAGTTGCATTTTTTCTCTCCTTAGGAAAAAAATTTCATATTATTATTTACACATTTCCTATTTGGTATTCTTACTAGTTTGTAAAAGTAACATATAAAAGTTACATTGATCTTTTACTGGTCATATGTCCTTTCCTAGTTGATTTTTCTGCTCATTTCAATTGTCCTGTCTTTTGGCAAATAGATTTATATTTTTTAATGCTTTTTCTTTCATAGCTTATGTTTCTTTCATCATGTACTTGTGATATAATTAACATGTAATCAACTCCATAAACTACAATCTCATAAACATACATTTAAACCATAAAAACATAACCAAAATCAAGAAAATGTACATATCCACCAATGCTAAGTTTCTTTTTGAAATCCTTCTTTCCTATATGTGTGCTCCTCCCTGACCTCAGAACCAACAGTCTGTTCTCTATGTAGGTTGCTTTGGTGGCCTATTTTCATTTGCATTTCTTGTTTGATGAAATATTTATCAAATTTTTGCCCATTTTTATATATTTTGAACCACTTTTATCAAGTGATTTTTGCTTCACAAATATTTTCTCCCAATGTATGATTCTTTTTATTCTCTTAAGAGTATATTTTGAGGTTTTAATTTGGACTAAGTATGATGTATTTTTTGTCTTAGGAACTGTATTTGTGGTGACACATCTCAGGAATCTTTGCTTAATGCAAGCTCACAAAAGTTGTCCTGCTTTTTCTAATTTTTCTAATTTTAAATTTTATATTTAGATCTAGTTAAAATAAAATTTTATATGGCATAAGAAAGTTTAGAGACATGATAAATAACTACTTCGTGATACTATTTCTTGAAAAGGTTGTCTTATCCACTGTACTGTGTTACCTTGTGTCAAGTTATCAGTTATGCATGGTTTTATTTCTGGACTGTGTGATCTATTGTTGTATTTGTCTATCTTTATGCATGTACCATGCTATATTCATTACTGTAGTTTTACAGTAACTCTTAAGATCGGGTGGTGTTAACTTTTCAACTTTGTTCTTCTGAGTTGAGTTGAGTTTCTTGGTCCTTTGTATTTTCTTGATTACAGTAAGAGACCAACATCCTAACAAAAACATGGGCGAGAGGTATAAAGAAGTCACAAAACTACCCAACAAAAATTCTGCATTCATGTAATCATCTATAGGTACAGAATGACAGAGTTGGTTTTCCCAAAATCTTTGTCCACATCCAAATGTCTTTTTAAATATCTACCATTCTTAGGGCTGGCCTGATAGCTCAGTGGACTAAAGCACCTGCTTAAGCAGAACACAGCAGCTGGGGTATGATTCCTGGCATGCCGGCCCCACACACGGGATGTGCTGAGACAGTGATCAAGACTTTGTGTGGTGGCGCAGGCCTGTAATTCCAGCACTTGGGAGGCTGAAAACAGGAGAATCACTACAAGTCCAATCAACATAGTGATACCCTGTAGACCCTGTCCTAAATACAGACAATAAATAAAAAAATAAATACCTACCATTCTTTTCTCTTTGTTAAACGGTATTTTTCACCTCAGTGAGAGAGATACAACAGGACTTGCCTTAATAGGATCCTCATACTAAATGCAGTTATATGGGCAGAGTACTTGAGATACTGCTGACCTTGCAACAATCACTCAACTATACTAATGCTATTTGCATATCTGAGATTATGCAATGTTCTTTCATTTATAGCCCATTGAAGGCAATTAAGCTTGTCTTGGCCATCCTATATTGGAATGTCAATAGTTCAACCAGGGATTGGGAACCTTTCTGTTTAGTTGTGCTGTTTGGCTGTCTTGATCTCCTGAATCTATGAAAACATTTACCTTTCATGATTATTTTCTCTTTGGAGAACAGCTAAAATTTGTACAGTGCCAGATCCAGTTAATAAGGTGGATAAGGACACATCAGAATACTTTCACAAGCCTGTCTTTCTCTGGACAGCACTGGGCAACAGCATTTGCCATACTTTTTAT